AGCGGAGGACTGTAGTGGACTTACCAAGCTGTAATCCTTTGGGACTGAGGTCGGTCGGCTGCGGTTATCTCTTCGATGCTGAGAGTCCGCGGGCCTTGTCTCGGAGGATCTATCACCCTCCCTGAAGGGCTTATTTTGCCGGGTGTGAGTCATGTGTTTTTCTGCCTCGTTTGTTCTCGGTGACCAGGGTTTTGGTCTTTTTGCACCGTGAGGTAGATCACGGCTGGCCTTAAGTGCGGTGCAGTCCCAGGTTTCGGGCCTGGACAGTTCTTTCCGGACGCCCATCGCGTCCTCCGCTTTGGTTCGCACCTTCGTACAGGGGTTACGCAGATTGCTCCTCCTGGTCGATCCCCATTACCGCCTTGGGATCTGAACCTGGTTCTCTCGTTTTTGCGGGAATTTCCTAATTGGACCTTTTGCGGGAACTTCCGCTTCTGCCCTTGTCTCAAAGGGTGGCCTTTTTGGTTGCAATCACTTCCGTTCGCAGGGTTTCGGAGTTGGTGACTCTGTTTTGCACTTCGCCATTGCTTGTCTTGCATCGGGACAAGGTTATCCTACAACCTCGACCGTCCTTCCTGCCAGAGGGGTTTCCGGTCTTCCATCTCAATGTGGACATTGTTTTTACCTTCCTGGTGTCCGAAGCCCGTTCATAGGAAGGATAGATGTGGTTTAATTGGGTGCTACAGCTCCCTTCCGCGAGTCGGATTCCTTAATGTTGTTGCGGATGGTCCTCGGAGTGTCGGGTCGCTTCCTCGGCCGCTGGATTCGCAACGCGTTTTCTCAGGCGTGTGCCATTAAGGGGCGTTAGCCTTTTTCTGTTAAGGCCCATTCTGCAAAGGCTGTTGAGGCATCTTGGGCCTTCCGTCCTGGTGCCTCGGTTTCCCTGGTTTGTAAGGCCGCTACTTGGTCTTCTGTTCACACCTTTGCCAAGTTTTAGAATGTGGATGATTTGGCATCGGCGGATGCTGGTTTGGGGCGCATGTTATTGCAGGCGGCCGTTTGAGGGGATTGTTTTCTATTTGGGTTTTTTCTGCCCACCCCTCCTTCAGGTACTGCTTTGTGACGTCCCTACACTACATGATCTCCGATCTGTTCCCTGTGTCCTTCAATGAACGGAAGAGAAAATAGGATTTTTGTAATCACCGTAAAATCCTTTTCTCTCCGTTCATTGAAGGACACAGGTCCCGCCCCTCTGTGTGGGTGTGTACTCCTAACTGCTTGTTACTTACAGGAGACTTGTCAGCAGGTGGGGGTTTTGGCCACCAGCAGGGGCTGCCCCTAGGCTGTAATTGGTCTTTAGTTTTGTGCCTTGCATCCTTCTCCTGCAGGTGGCGATATTACCCTACACTACATGATCTCCGATCTGTTCCCTGTGTCCTTCAATGAACGGAGAGAGAAGGATTTTACGGTGAGTACAAAAATCCTATTTTTCCACCTCTAATTCTCCCAGTGGAGCTCCCATTTTAAGGAGTTGCTCGCTTTCGTATTTTTAATGCATAACCTTACACTTCTCAATATTAAATCTCATCTGCCATGTAGACGCGACAGTTTGGTATCGTCAGCAAAGATTGAAATATTGCTATTAATAGCAGTCCCAATATCATTGATAAACGGGTTGAAAAGCAATGGCACAATGTCCGAACCCTGGGCACACCACTGCCAACCAAGAACCACTTGGAAAATAAGCCATTTATTGAAACTCTCTGGACATGTTCTCTATCCAACAGTACACACCATTTCATCAATGACCAAAGATTGAAGCTTGTAAATAAACGTGTATGAGGCACCTTTTGCAAAGTCAGGGCACACTACGTCCACTGGCTTTCCTCTGTCTACAGGTGATACTCGAATAATTAGAATATCGTGCAAAAGTAATTGCTCCCTTCCGCCACGCAAAAGTAATTGCTGCAAAAGGGGCCCAAACCAAGTACTGAGTCCATATGCATGCTTGTACTTTTCAGAGGTCCGATATTGTTCTATGTACAATCCTTGTTTTATTGATTTGCATGTAATAATCTACTTTTTTGAGGTTGTGGATTTGGGGTTTTCATGAGCTGTAAGCCATAATCATCACAATTATGACAAATCACGGCTTGAATTATCTTGCTTTGCATGTAATGAGTCTATCTCATATATTAGTTTCACCTTTTAAGTTGCATTAGTGAAATAAATGAACTTTGCACGATATTCTAATTATTCGAGTTTCACCTGTATGTTGCCACTCACCTCTTCATAGAAAGCTAACAGGTTGGTTTAACATGAACAGTCTTTCCTGAAGCCATGTTGGTTGTCACTTATGATATCATGCCCATCAGCATATTCATGAATATGTTCCTTTATCATGCCCTCAAATAACTAGCATACTATAGATGTTAAGCTGACGGATCTATAATTCCCAGTTATGCTTCTCAAACCTTCTTTTAAATATTGGTACAATAGTTGCTTTACGCCAGTCAGCTGGAACCTCCCCAGTCAGTATGTAGTTTGTAAAGATTAGGCACAATGGCCTCGCTATTATTGTACTTGGATCTTTTAAAGGAGAACTATGGGGTTAAGGTTTTTCACCACAGTTCTCCTTAGGGTAACGGGAGGACACAAACTAGCGTCCTCCCGTCACCCTAAGCTCAGTATACCCCGAGCGACAGCTCGCGGTATACTGAGGCGCCGCAGCTGAAGCGGATCCCGACAATTATGTCTGGATCCGCCCAGCTGCGTGAGTGACAGCTGGCTCTGCCTATCTAGAGGCAGAGCCAGATGTCCCCTCCCCCGTCCGATCCGCCAGTCAGCGCTGGCAGATCGGAGCGGGGAGAGGGGAATCCAGCCCCTCCCCTGTCACGGCAGAGAGCCGTGACAGGATCGAGAGGCGAGCGAACCCGGTATCTGTTCGCTCACCTCCTGATCTACTGAGCCGACTGTGACAGTCTCATTGTCACAGGCCGGCTAGAACTATGAGGTGAGTGAAAAGCACTCGCCTCCTAGTTCTCCTTTTAAGTATCCATAAGTGCAACTTATCTGGTGCCGGGGGTTTATTCACATTAAGTTTTTCTAGTCCACGGCGAACCCTAGCTTCCGTCAACCACAGTGGTGTTTTCCTCCCAGTGCTACTCAGATTATTGTTTGTGTACATTAACCACCTTCCGTCCATGGTCGTTTGTGAACGGCCGGACGGAAGTCTGCTAGGAGCGGGAGGGCGTCTTAAGGCGTCCTGCCCGTCCCCCCTCTCGTGTGCGGCACTCAGCGCGCACACGAGAGGGCAAACTGTGAGCATGTAAACAGCCAGCGATGGCTGTTTACATACAAGCGATCAGGCGTCTCTAGAACGTGGCTTTCCTGAGTAAATACTGTGGAGAAGAATGTATTTAATACTTTGGCCATCTCCCTGTCATTTGTAATCCAACCTCCCATTCTCATCCTTTATGGGACCCACCCGTTCCTTTCTTACCTTCTTATTGTTTTTGTATTGGAAGATTTTTTTTTTTTTTCTGCGAACAGTGGCCGTTCATTTTTCGTATTCTATTTTGGAGGCTTTGGAACTTTTTCATTTTTATTGCATTCCTTGTAGTTCTGGAAGGCCAGTGCTGTCCCTTCCATCTTACATTTTTTTTTTTTTAAATGCCAGTTTCTTCTTATTGAGGGTATAACGTTGCCGTTCCTTTTGTATTGCACATTGCTGGGCAATGTTTATATGTTTGATCTGGAATTATATTTTTGAAAAAAAATGTTTGAGGGTTTAATGCTACTTTAAGTCAGCGCCTACTGACTTAAAAGGTTATTAAACCCTCCGGTGTTTTTGCATAGATCTACTGATAGCAAGCAGTAGATCTATGCAAAAAGTGTAAATAAAGAAATCGCTTTAAAAGCTCTTTAAACTTACCTGTGTCTTACCCACGCGCTCCCGCGTCTGTGCAGGAGGGTGGGATTGGTTAGTTAAGTGTACTTTGTTTTAAAGTGCACATATCCTTTAAATGTATAACACTTCTGCTTAAAAACCAATCCTCTTCTTCTGGTCAGTTACATACACTGCAACAAATTTAGCAATCATCTTTGCAAAGTCCCAACTGCTGCTACACTTGCTGCTGTATTAAAGCTCACACAGATTCCACTCACATCCTGCAGCTCCTTCTACTTCCTGACTGCAACAATCGCCTGGCTCTAGGCACATGATCTGTTCACATATTCTAATTATCGAAAAACTGATAGGAACAGCTGTGAGCTAATCACATAAACAGTCAGTAAGTGATATTTCTGGGGGGGAGGGGGGTTGCATTATGTGCAGCAGAAATTGCGGAGGGTATGACCAGGGTCAGTATGTGCAGGAGAAGCGTGATGAGGGTATGACAGTGGTAAGTATTTTACAGGAGAGTAGTGATGAGGGTATGACGGCGGTCAATATGTACAGGAGCGGAGTGATGAGGGTGTGATTGTGGTCAGTGTGTACAGGAGAGCAGTAATGAGGGTATGACGGTGGTCAGTATGTGCAGGAGAGTAATGATGAGGGTATGATGGTGGTCAGTATGTGCAGGAGAGTAATGATGAGGGTATGATGGTGGTCAGTATGTGCAGGAGAGGAGTACGGAGGGTTTTACGGTGGACAGAGTTTTTTAGAGGTGGTGGGGAGAGCAGGTTATGACTGCATTGCAAATGTACAAAGTATTTACGACATACTGTAATTGTAAAGTGTGGGAGAATAGTTTGGAATAGCATACATGGTTTGGAATAGCAAACCTGTTTTTTATTACTAGGTTTTTGTTGTCTGTTTTTTTGCTGCAGTAACAGGTTCTTTCTGTGGAGACACCAGATGTCTGTTAGACCTCTGGTACCCTACTGGTGTCCATCAGATACAAATGAAGAACCGAGGGTCCTTATGTGTGTGTGTGTGTATATGTGTATATATGTGTGTATATAGATATACCATAGATATATATTTCACATTTTCTTTTGACCTTTTTAGCTTGTTGGCTTCTAACACAAATATTTCTATCTCTGTTTTCCTCCTGCAGACTCTTAAGAATGCTTGGCTGCAAAAATATGCTACAGATTCTGCCAACCCAGGGGTCCTGGTCCTGCTGGGCTGTGGCACTGTATCAAGTACCTGTGGCCAACTTGCCAGTTATCCATTAGCTTTGATCAGGACGAGAATGCAAGCTCAAGGTAAAAAGATATGATTTATGTTTTGTCGTCATTAGCAAAATTAAAGTTTTGTTTTTTTTTACATTTATGTAGGGGTTTCATTTTCTCCTCTTAGGATAAGTGTACATTGGCATAGTGTGTGCGCCTGTGAAATGAACAGAGATTGGTTCTTGGCATGGAAGCAGATATTTGGCTTGTAGAATTCAGTGTGTGCACATGTGCAAGCACAGTCCATTCTGACTTGCCTGTGATCTGGATGCCAAATGTGCATATCTAAATGATTTAATCCGTAATGTGCAGCCAAATTTAATAGTGGCCCTGACAATTATCTGTGTTGCTGCTCACCATGATTAACTTATTAGCAACAAAAAAAGAATTCGGCAGTAACGGGATTTTATGACTTTTCAGAGAATACATTGCTTTGGCAGAAACATACACTAAGTATCTTAATTTATGGTAATTGATTAGATAGTCCTTTTTTTTAAATCTATAAAATAATTCTTAATGCACTGGGTCTAACTATCTTCCCTTACTGTATTCCCTTGCTGCATTCTATTTTTGACCTGATATGGTCAACCCATTTTATTTATGAGAATTGTCAGTTTTATGATTCATCAAAATGTGGTTATCGATAGTATTATTTTTTTTTTAATAAGGTGAACTCTGGCTAACTTCATCAAAATACATGAGAACTCTTTAAAGGATAATTAAACCCTCAGGAGTTTTTGCATAGATCTACTGCTAGCAAGCAGTAGATCTATGCAAAAACATTAAAAAAGGTTACGAGAAAGGCTTAAGCTTACCTGTGTCTCCGCCGCGTGCTCTCGTCCGAAGATCTAAAAAATTATCGGTCGGCCGCAAAGGAACATGGGGCGGGCGCATGCGCAGTACAGATCTTCGGCCGAGAGACGAGGAGAGACACAAGGTAAGTCAATGGAGGCAGGGTGCACCCGCACAGACTCTGTGGGACAGGAAGTGCCAGAAAGAGAGAGGGGTCATCGCTGGATCAGAAACCAGCACCAGCACTGGAGGGACTCCTGAAAACGACAGGAAAGAAGATGATGTTCGGATAAGAGGCATTATTTAAGGTGAGTCCTTATACTAGCATTGGGGGGGTGGAAATATCCTTTTAATGTACTGAAGCATCTGCATCTTTGTGGCTGCTTTGTACTCCAAGCACCCCTGCCAGGCACCGTTAGTGCAGCATGGTCAACGGCAAATAATGTGGAATTGTTCAAGAAACTTTTGGACGATTTCTTAAGGGACCGTAATATACAGGGGTACAGGTACTCCTAGAATGAGATCCTAATAGGTTGGACTTGATGGACTAATGTCTTTATTCAACCTCAAATACTATGTAACTATGTACTCGCTCTGCTGTCTTCTACTGTCAGCCTGTTCCCAGTTAGCACATGTGCAACAAACTCTCATTTGGAACTATCCCTTACTTCTCCCAGCCTGTGTGCTGCTGTACAGGGGACCAAAGAATGTTGCTAACTGAACAGTTTCAGGTACTTGCATTAGTTGCATTTAAAGTGATGTTTTCTTTATTATATACCTGCCTTATTTGGTGTTTATCTACTAGGAGTTTAGGTTTTACGAATTAACTCTGGGAATAGGGCAGGCAGGCTATATCCTTGGATAGGGACACAGTGAGTGTGTGCTCAGTAGTGTGAATGAGTCCTAAATCCTTTTTACATAATGCCATGCCTTGCAAGCCCAGGAATGGATCCATGCTATTAAAATTGACCCTGCCCCACTGGGTGACACTAGTTCAGCCAACTAAGACCGGTGCCTTTTATCCCCCACTTATATACACACACATCTACTTACTAGATCTCCTACATACATTCAGGTGTATATACAAGTGGGAACATGATCTAGGCACCATTTTTGGAGGATCAGGTCGAGGACATTCTAAGTATGCTCCCCAAATTGTCTGTCACAGTCTGGAGGTTCGCCCATTCATTATTTCTAGATAGGACATATCGCACATCACAGCTTCTATTTCATATTGGATTACATACTAGGTATGTATTGTAATAGGAGCAGGAGAGCTGGAGCAGAGCTCATCCATTTCCTGTGAAGATCTCCCAAGCTTTTCTGCCACTGACACAAAGTTGTTTCATTGTAAATATAGTATATAGTCTCTCTTTAGAGTGCAACCCCCTCATAGGTATCCTTGGGTATTTTGGCACTTCCAGTTTAGATCAAAATACAATGTGCTGTGAGCAGAAGCCGTGTTATTCGTTTATATGGCTGAATGTGTAAATTGCTCTAAAAACACTGAGGTAAAGATGTTAAAACGTTTTAAAGTGGGAAATGTGATTCCATTCATATAGGCTTCTATAGGAGTAATTCTCTGTATTTTTCATTGTTTTAAAAATGTCCTTCCATCTCTTGCAGCATCTATAGAGGGCGCGCCTCAGCTTAGCATGGGAGGCCTCTTCCGCAAGATTATAGCGAATGAAGGATTTACAGGCCTATACAGAGGGATAGCTCCGAACTTCCTGAAAGTGCTCCCGGCTGTCAGTATCAGCTATGTGGTATATGAGAAGACGAAGTTGCAGCTTGGGATCTAGGAGTGGGGAACCTCCGGCCTTCACACTCAGGAAATCCATTGCGTGCATTATTGTCTGTGTGTTTATTGTGAAAGCTAAACAGGGTGCACTGAGTATGGATTGTGTTGCTGCAGGCCATAGTGAAAGTCTCCAGGGCTAAGGGCTAGTTCACACCAGCCATAGTGCGTTCCGGCCCGATTGGATCGTATTGCGGATGGCTCACTTTGTTGTGTGTCGTGATGGTGTATTGAACTCAATGGCACCGCAGCCACGCCCTCCGGCCGCAGTGCAAGCGGCCACACGGGAATGCGTGGCACATCAAGCCTGCGTTCTGGTCCGGTCAGGAAAAAAAAAAATGGTACTTGTAGCAGGCATTAATGTGCCACACATTTCCGTATGGCTGAGGTGCCATTGCGTTCAATGCACCACCACTCTCCCTCCCGCCCCTACACTGTGAGCCGGCCGTAAAGTGATCCAGTGCATTCCAGCCCCAATCGGGCCAGAGCGCACTGTGGCTGGTGTGAATTAGCCCTAAAAAAGCATCAACCATGGATCCATTTATAAACAATTCACAAAACCAATCACCCTGCGAATCTCTGTGCAATAGAAGGCAAAAACGAATGTTCTTAGTATATTCGGTTGAATAGAATGAAATACTGCATAATGGCCACCAGATGGAACTGAGGAGAATAGGTTATAAATACTTATTTGATATGCTCCTTGGCGCCATCTATGGGGCGTAATGAGGTATTTCATTACATTACATTTAACCTGAAATAAACATATAAGAATATTTGTTTTTGCCTCTATTCACACATAACACACTTTCACAGATGTCTGCAGAGTGAATGGCTCTGGAAATTGTTTTAAATAGACCCCAAAATGTATAACATTAAAGGCAAACGCCACTTTTGTTGAGAAAATTATTCTCTTAAGCAGAAACGTATATATTTTTTCTAAAGTATATGTAAACACTTGCCATAAACTTACCTTATTTGCTCCCTTTTTAGTCTGTTTAAATATACAATTGAAAGTGTTTTGTTATATTTTTGCTATAAATGCAAATAATACCTGTTCATCGTGGCAGAAATCCAAAGAGCTTGTAAGTTCCTGTGTTCTCTGCAGCATGATCTCAAGTCAAATCAGCCTTGCCCGGGTCTTATGTTATGGAAAGGAGCAGAGGGGGATGTGTTTTGTAGTCCTAATGCACTTCCTGTCCTAGGGTGACAATGCTGCTTCTCCACAACTAATGCAGCCTCCATATTTAAGGACCAGTAAGCTGCAATATATGACATTCTTGTTCTATGGTCTAGATGCACTTAGATATATTGATTTGTTGCCTTACCAGCACTTCTAGCAAACTGACTTCCAATTGGTAAGGTTTGCCTCCTGTGTTGTAATAAGAATTGTGCAGCCTTTGCTTCCCTTTTTATATGTGTACATTTTTAGTATCTCACGTGTTTGAGGATGTGCCTAAAATTCTACTTCAAACTCTTTGTAGACTCCTAGGGGTAGCAGTATGCCAAGCACACTGATTTTTGAGAGAGAAGCAACATTTTATCAACATTGAATAACACAAAATGAGTAGCAATGATGATCCCTTTTTTACAAAAAAGTTGAGTTTCTTTAAGAAGGAGCAAATAAAAAAAAAATCATTGTGCAACGTCCCATCTTGCTCCAGGCTTTTTTTTAATTGATTTGGGAAAAGACTCTTGATGTGCAGTTGACCTTGGCAACAAATTGGGTATCACCATTCAGCAGACTAATGAGAATGATTTATTATTAGTTGTGGGTCACCTTTGCACTTTGTTATAAAACACAGTTGTATGTAAAGCGATGCAAAATCTTGCGTATAAACACACTCCTTGTATTTTTTTGTACTTGTTTTCTTTTTATAGCCTTTTTTGTAATTTTTGGTATTTTTTTTCTGTCCCCTTTTTTTATCATGTAGAGTGATTATATTCAGTTTGTTTATCATAAGAAATGCAATATTCAGAAGCCGATGCCAAAGAGGTCCTGAGGATATATAGAGTTTAACGAAGTGTTGTATGTAAAGTGCAATTGTTATGAAACTATAAATATTGTTTTACAAGTAAACATATCACAAGAGGAATTTCTTCTGGAAGGAAAGGCAATACAATCACTGAACTTGCAGAGGATGCCTCCCTCTTGTTTTTTTTTGCGCTCACATATAGTCTGAAATAAATAATAAATACTTTGTCCAATTGGTTACATGATCGCACAGCTCCAGCGTCAGTATCCTTCTGTGTCGCCGGTGGAAAGGAACTCTGTCCCCCTCCAACAACGACTAGCGTAGTGGATGCCAGTAGGGTGACATCACTACTGTAGGAATTCGGTGCCGTTGTCTGCGCTGCACAGGGCTCGGCAACGTCTTGGCTTTAGCTATACTTTGCTGCCCTTGGTGTGTACATATAACTGATATCCAGTAAAAGGAAAGGCGATACAACACCCAACTTATAAAGGTTGCCTCCCCCGTTTGTTTTTTCTTCCATATACAGTGTGAAATCGTAATGCGTTTTAATTTCACTTTGTCCAAGTGGTGATGTCACCAGCAACGGTGCTTAATTCCTAGAGCAGTGGTGTCATCCACCAGCGTCCACTGCTCTAGGCATTGTCAGAGGGGGAAGAGTTCCTTCCAACCAGTTGCATAGAAGGACAAGGCTGCCGGAGCTGTGCTATCACCGTGCATGTGGGAGAGATAAGAGCACTTCCTGTTCTATTGACGTATAAGGAGCGATTTAAATCTCCTTAACAGTTGTCAAAGGAACAAAATGATTTTCCCTTTCAGTGGTCACCAGGATAAATAAATGGTGATTCTCTCGTAGTGTGGACACAATACAAACCTGATGTGGTTCTAACCCTCCACACAGTTTTCCAAAACTGAAAAAAAAAATGTGGGCTTTTTTTTTTTTTTTACTTTGTGGGTTGAGATATCTATTATGAGGAAGCAGCCTGACTGTTCATCTTATTCTTTGTTTTATTCATTAACTTTCACCAAAAAATGACACTTGGTATGCACAGACATTTTCTTCTGTATTAATTATAAATCAACCCCAGCTTTCTGGCTTCATGACATTAATCATCCTTTCATTAAACCACGATTAAAGAATCATTTTAAAGTAATCTATAGTCAAAACTTTTTTTTTAGTTTGGGATGGAATAGGGAATAGTTAAAACTCAACACATTTTTTGCTGTCTATTCCTTTTGGGTGATTTCCCTTCATTTTCTGTCTTGGAGAGGCAACAGAATTTGTCATTGTGGTGCTTGTGAAAGAATGAGGACAGTGGTATTTGCATAGAAACTGAAGAGTCGGGGGTGACCTAATGATATCCAAGTGACAAGACACTGCTCAGTAGACCCTAAGACACGGATTGAGGCACAGGGACATTCCAGGGGCACTATGGTTCTGATCTAAGGTAATGGGGGAGCAGTGATATTTTTTGTGGTACTGTTGGGTTAGGGAAAGGGGGCATGTATTTTTAGATGCAATGTGCGGCTGATCTAGGGGTATGGGGGCATTTCCAGGGACACTCTAGTACTGAATGTAAAAAATACAAGAACCTAAAAACTGTGCAAAAAAAGTTTGTTTTTAATGATTGTGTTTTCACAGTAGATGCTTTAGTCCATAAACTATTGCCTTTATTGAGTCTTTTACATATCACTAAGATGAATGTGCCAAACATTCAGACTGCAGCTATTTTGGGTTGGTGTTAGGGGAAAAAAAAAGATACCTTTTCTATAGAAAACTTCATTATTCAGTTTCTGCTGTTATAACAAATGTATTGGTACTCGCAGTAGATGCACATTTCCATGCCTGTGTTTTTCTAAGATCTGTTGACTAATGATTCCTAATATTTAGATTGTTTATGTTGAGGGGAAAGGCTGTGATTAAGGGATTTATTGGATATTATTTTCAGGTATATTATAGTGCAGGTCTTTATTTAGTTTTTAGGGGCGTAAAATGTATTCAAAGCCAAAACTGATTCACCCAAATTGCCACTCCAGTTGTATTCCAGCTACAACTAATGTACAGTCTCAAATTAGTAGTTTTTGAATTCCGTCCACATCCGCCTTTGCAACACATACAATGTACACAACTAAGGAGAGGTTATCTTTATTAATTTATTACACTCCTCTCAACAAAGTGCACTTATCCTTTTTGCCCCCTTCCCCTGACCTAAATGATACCACCTTCCCCACCTGCAAACCTGTACTTACAGAGATCCGACAGGCACGGTCCCTCTCCCACCACAATGCTCCCTCTGCTGGCCGCTCCTGCACATTACAGCCCCGTAGACATCTATGGGGGCAACTCCTAGCAGGGAGACAGATGTGGCCAGCAGTGGAAGACTAGCCCTGGAAGTCAACAAACAGGACCACAGCGCCCCTTGGGTTTTGATAAGTAAAGATCTGTGGTGGGTGAAGGTGGAATCATTTGGGTTAGATGAGGGTGGCAAAAAGAATAGGTGCACTTTGTATAAAAGTGCACTTACTGTTAAGTTCTTCTCGTGAGCAGCTCCACCCTGCAGTAAAAGTGCTACACTAAATTCTGTATTAAAAGTTTACCAGTCTGATACCCATATTGACTCTCTAATCAATGAACACTGACAAAAGTGCTGGCCGGGACCAAACTTGCTTATGGTCTAAAGACCACTGTGATTTATTATATTGACTTTAAAATGAGCATGCCAACAGAAAATACTTTGGAAAGGCATCAAAACATCTGACCATCAGTGTTTTTGTTGTAAGACATTTACTTCCAAATGTTTGACTTAAGTGTGAATGTAAATCCTTGACAAGAGAGAGATATTTAATGCCATGTGTCTGGTTTACAGGTTTGTTTACAGTAACAAATCACCAAAGACATTATTTCATATGTTACAGTGAAATATAGTGTGGCTATGGTATGTAAACTTGTGAATTTATAAATAAAACTTTCATTGTTCACTTGTTCATCTGCTATGAGAAGATTATTATAAATGCACACTATACCGGTAATATAATTACATAACATATTGCATACAATGGAATAATAATAATGACATGTTTCAGTTCGTATCGCTTTAAAGAACAACTCTAGGCAAAATGTTTTTGCAAGGGTTAACTACTCATGAGTATAACAGTTA